ACAGCCAGTGCAGTAGAGTTCGTGTGAGCCATGCAAAGTGTAGCACGGTGAGCTCCGAGAAGCACCGCACGAGGTCACCATCAACAAGGACGTGCCTTATCCCGTAAAGGAACCCCCGCAGGCGCAGTGCCTTCGGCAGATTACAGCCGTCCTCACGGCCTGAGTCGTACAGGTCATCACCGTCAAGAAGCCCTACACCGTGAAAGTTCCCGGCCACCGTGACGGCCTCAGTGGTCAAGCTTCGGGTTCAGCTTGACTCCTTCTTCGATCGTCAGGCCACTACGTGGACGTGCCGGTCCCTTCGCCTCCCCACATCGTGAACAAGATCAAGTACCATTATGTCACTGTGCATGACTACGACGCTCGGCACAGCATGGTGGCCCTCCCACCGCTGCAGCATTGAGAGACAGGGGAGCGTCGTCTGTCCTCCTCATAGCCTCAGAACTGCGACTCCCATTTCGACAAGTGGTACTATGCTTGGTCTGGCGCGAAGTGGCCTTGCTGCATTTATCTACAGCGGCGAGTGTGAGACGAGCTCTTATTTGGTATGTGCAGGAAGCAATGGTGCTGCGCGCACCAGCACCTGGGCTGCCCAGGACACTTCCTGCCGTGGTCGTGCTGTGGAGTGCCACTGCAGTGGGGGGGGGGCTGAAGAAGCTTGAAAGAAGCCGGAAGGATCTTGGCACCATCACCACGTGGTGACCATTACTGGTGTGCAGCATCTCAAGCACTATGCTACTCGGCGAAAGCTTCCTCGTGGGAGAGGGGGCTTGTTGGATATAATTCGACACTTCCGGTGTGTTTGGAAGGGTTTCGGTGGGAGAAACGAGCTTCTTCTGACGCTGGCTGCAGGAGGTTCTTTCATGGGCATTTGCGCGTGACATTGTCTAGGATATTCCGGCTGTGGCATCGGCAGTACACTCTTTTTCTGCATTGGCTAGTCTAGGCTTTTCGGCATGAACGATCAACAAAGACTACGGCCGAGGCTGCGCACTAGTCGAAATGCGTGTCCCTCTCCTGAGTCACAAGCCCTGTCCATTATTGAACTTTCGTCCCAGCCTGCGGCTCTCAAGTGTTCTGAGTGGCCTGTCACGCTGAGGATTGCCATGCCGGCTTGTCCAACTGGTATCACGGCTGGTCCCACGTCAAGAAATCCTGGTGCTGCGTGGCTCCGTCTCGCTTGAACCGAGATTGCGTTTGTCCGCATCCGGCGCGCAGCTCGTTTACTTCATTGACCTGTCAGTGATTGTCAGCTGCCACTGCAGCACTTGCATGTCCGTGTAGCTTGCCTCCTCGAGCACGACAGGACCACCATCAGCTGGGCTGCCCTGGCATGGCGCACGGGCAGTGGCACCCTCACACTGTCTGCGCCCTATACACAGCATGTCGAGCGCTGCCGCATGCAAAACCTCTCCTCAAACCGCAGCGAAGCTTGTGACGCGGCAACCTTGGCCACGTGATGCTGTGATGGATACCGAGGTGGTGCACACCATCATGGGCCACCATGCCGGCCATGGCGGATATGACTGCGACGCAGGCTACTCCAATTGGGAGCACGGCTGGTCGCAGCCCCGACATTTCTGAGGTGCCTACTGACTTGCTTGTCTGTCCAAGTGAGGTCGTACCACAAGAAGACGTATTGCTGCGAGCACGAGCACAAGGGCTGCCAGCCATACCACTGCCACCACCACGAGGATCCTCTGCCTGGGCTGCTCGAGATGCTTTGGGAGATGTCTGGCCGGTCGTCAGGAGGAGCACGACACGTGGTCGGAGGACAAGCGCTGGGAGCCCAAGATTTGTGGGGTCAGGCGCGTAGAGAGAGTGCAGGGTTGCATGCTTGCTTTTTGCAGGCGACTATTGCTGCGGCCACTTCCAAATCGCCTGCGCCGCAACCACGCTGTCGCCTCTTGGGTGTGACGCCGCTTGGCCAAACTTTTTTAGTGCAAGAAGGATGTGGTACCTACACCATGTTGCGTTCCAGCCCACCACAAGGAGTTGCTCTTCCTCGGTGAG